TTATTATTTTTAATAGGTAACGGAAAGTGGGAAACATACATACTATTCCCTCCTCTTCCTATTTACTTCAGAACAACCCTGTGAGTTGGGATGAAACAACATGACAGGCCCAAAATTCTCAAGCCAGCTTTTATACCTAAAGTGGGATTGGTACTTTCCTGGTTTTTAGGCTGGTGCCATAACCGCTAGTTCAAACTGTCTCCAAATATAAATTTAGAATATAAATTTAACAAGAAATGACCTTTTAAGTTTCAGCTTCTATGATTTAGCTAAAGTCAGCTGGCAATAAGATTGGATGCTAGAGATGTAATGGATCCAAGACTTAAAAGCCACTAATATAACCTGTCCCTCTTATATACCCATTGTTTGTGTCCTTATTCACATAAGCAGTACATGACGGGTAAGATACTGATTAAAAATATTTTCTATCTTAAAATAACAAAGCAAAATATAAACAGTATACTTTTCTCCAGTTACATGTATCATTTATTATTGCATGATGTTGTCATATTTTGGTGAGTTTAGCATAGTAAGAAATCAATACATTCTTCCAGATTCTGATACTGGACATAATCCATTGCGAAGTACTATTAAGTATAATTGCAATAGAACTGCCAAAGAGCAAATTGTTCTTAAATCAATTTAAAAAATGGAGAATATCTTTCAGTTCAACAATTCCTATCTTATTGTCAAATAATGGTGCACAAGATTTTTCATTCAGTAATTCCAATTAAGGATGGAACTTTTTAAATACATTGCAATTAGAAATAAACAATCAATACTGCCATATGTCGTAATTAAATAGGATTCTGTTCCAGATACTATTAAACACACACACACACTCTTTCCAAAATCATTCCCACAATAGCACTGCTATGCATTCTGAAAATGGAGACTAGGCAAAATCATACTTTCTTAGATATATTTATCATGGGATCTCTTGGGTTAACTTAAATAGTTTACCCTATGAACCTGGAAAGTAAACTCTGTTACATGTACTGCACTGCAAATTTTTGGACATTCACAACATACATATATCCAAATGGATTTTGAGACCAAGAAGATACACACATCTCCAATATCCCATCCTGGATCTCGGCAACTTTATCATTTCCATATCTGGAAACTAAATTTTGGTGCAGTTATTAACTTCAGTACTTGTGAATGTCCAAAAATTTGCAATGCAGACAGATGGAGAGACCTGTTGGTAGTCAGATTTATGTGTAGATCTACACCCTCTGAACCCCTTTCAGCTGCAACTGTGTGCATTTGAGAAGTTGTATAGGAGTATGTTTAAAACATAACATTTTAGCAGATTAATATTAGGGAGTTTTAGAAAAGCCATTTTACCTTTTTTGGTAAATACAGGAGGATGGTAAGATTGCAATGTGAGCAGTCCAATGCTCCCTGTACACAGTTGAATGCATTGCCCCCTCTGGTGGCCACATGTATAGTATCAATGTGAATAAACAATACATACAATGTATGTAAACTACTCTAAGTGAACAGAGGCCCTGGATAGTTCAACTGAATTAGGTGAACAGAGACAAAGACCTCTTGTGAGATAAACTTAAGGCCTTCACCAAAGATAAATACTGTACCTCTTCCTGATCATTAGTAAGCTCCTTACAAACATAGACTATTTAGAATTTACTTATATGCAGAAATAACTTTTTATATCCTGAACCAGAAAGTGAGTTAGAATTACTATTTATTAATATCTTTACTTTTCAAACTCTCTGTTGCAGTAATTGTGCATTAAGCCAGGTAGTTGTGATTTTATCAGATTCTTGCTCAAAAGACTAAAATTGTAGAACAAAAATTGGAACATCTAAGGAGATACATTAACCAAGTTTAATGTTTTAAATATAACATAATTGCCTAAGACATCCAAGCCATTGTCTAAAGTATGGACAGCACAGAGAAAATACTGCAACTACAGTACTTTAACGTTTTTCAGTTTGAAAAGCAACTTCTACCACAAACTACAGGTAGTCCTCAAATTATTCATTTAGAAACTGTTTGCAGTTATAAAGAAAGTCCAATCCTTGAATTTAAGATTGATCCCTGTACTTTTGATCGTTGCAGTATTCCTCATGGCCACATAATCAAAACTCAAGCACTTGCCAACCAGCATGTATTTTCAATGGTTGCATCATACTAGGGTCACGTGATTGCCATTTCCAAGTTTCCCAACTGTTTTCCAAAAACAAAGTCAATGGGAAAAGCTGAATTCACTTAACAACCACTTGATTCACTTAACAACTGTGATGATTCACTTAGCAATCACGGCCAAAAAGGTGGTAAAATTGGATGTGACTCATTTAATGAATGCCTTGCTTAGCAAAAGAAGTTACAATCTCAATTGTAGACATAAATCAAGGATCCTTTAAGACCATAATCTTAACTATTCCTCCCCACAAAAATTGTTTCAATTCTAAAAGGGTGCTCTTATGCTGTCTCGTCCCTTGAGGTTGACCCATGCAAGTTGGGGGTTGGTGTTTTGCTAACAGTCTTTGAAGTATTTATTAATTAAATTTGTTTGCCAGCCATCTCGCCACAAGGCGACAGGTTTACTGCCAATGGGACTGGCTCTCCTATTTCTGATAAATTTTATTCAGGTTGGCAGTGCACTTATTTAGGATAAGCTGCAGAGTTATCAAGTGTTGGACACCAAATGGTAACATAAGTTGAGCTTCTTCTTGTAAAGTATTGGATGTGAACCAGAATTTGCAGCTATCTAAATGTATCTTGAACCCTCTTCTTATATCAATGTAATCTTTCCGTCTGCTGTCCTGGAGGACAGTTTTAACAGAACCTCTTTGAACAGCAGCATTGCCCTTGTTCCACAGATGTCATTAAAAATATTGGGTGTATTGCTATATTGCCATTTTGGAGGGAAATCTGTGCAGTAAACTTATGATGCCCTGTTAGCAAACATTTGAAGCTACCCAGATGACTTCCTGTGCACCTTGTCCTTGGGATAGTCATCGTGCCATTACTTGTAAAATAGCAACATTATATGCAACAACATATAGAATATGTATATAATAAGAGACATCTCTAGTGATGCTGGTAATCCATCTTTTTCAGTAGTTGTGGTTTTAGATTACTGATTGTTTTATTACACATTGTTTTATCGTCTGGGTGTTTTCTTGCTCATAGACTACTTTTGATGGTTGGCCTTGGGTCATTCATTTAAAAGAATGCTGGAAGAATGGCAACGAAGCTTTCTTCATCTGATACCAAATTCATAGCCTTGTAACAATGTAATTAACAGCATTTTTAAACATTAGGAGATGGTCTAATAGGGCAGCGGGTATGGAATGCACCAGCTCGTCCCAAAGGTGCTTTTTCAAGAGGCAACTGGTCTTTCTTGTTTTTCTTTGAAGATGTTTTGCTTCTCATCCAAGAAGCTTCTTCAACTCTGGATGGTGAGAAATGGAAGGATTTGCAAGCAGCTGGTCATTTGCATTCTTTTAGTGAGTCGTTGAGGCCATTTGGAGGTTTATCTATGATCTCACAGAGTCACCTGAGTAATGGAAATGGATGTGGAACCTTCTTGGAACTGCTGAAACTGCTCCTTTTTACGGCTTGGATGTATGTGTCACAAGAGCTCGAACAGCTGAAACACGTCATGTTTCCCAATGACAGGACATTAAAGTCTAACACTTCCTACATGGGAAGGATTAAAGTGGATTGTGCATTTCAAACTAAGAGTGTGTGGCTCGTAGGTTTTTGTCCCTGACATATAGGCTGATGTCAGGGACAAAAACCTAGTTTTACTGCTAATTTTTTATGGACATGAACTACATACAGACCAAATTGGGGGGAGGGGGGGAATGCATCTATCAATCTGTAGCAGTAAAGGGTTCTGCCTCTGCTTTGTCATGTCAATGAGAGAGAACAATTTTGTGCTTACGAAAGTGACTTGAGTTATAGGCATAGATAAAGTCACTTGACAGTGAGATGGGATAACAACAACAACAACAACCAACAAATTTAAATCTTATGTTCTGACCTAGGCTTCTGGAGAAAGCATATATCACAATCTTAGTTCCAAAAAAACTCTTTTATTGAGACAGCTGTGAATTATGGTCATTCACAGCCCGTAATGATTCACAAACAGTCTATGAAGATTCCAACAGATGTCTGCTCAAGTTGACATAGTTTTTCAGGGTAATGTTGATAAGCACCTACCTTTATCTCCCTTGAAACGCTGCCAGAGACTAATTGTCAATTAGTTTTGCAAGGCCAAACAGAGCACAGTGTCAAATGGACTTCTCAGAACTTGAATTGACTATATGAACTAATTGCTCTCTGCAAAGGCTCACGCCCATTTGCTCCTCTTTTATGTCTTATGGGAGGGGCCAATCATCTCCAAGCCTTACTCCTAAATCGCCCTTTTTTTTCTTGATTGTTCTTGCCTTCTGGCAGCTCTACACATGCGCACACTGGGAACAGGCTCACACTCTTCTTCTGCCTCACTGATGTCAGATTTCGGAGATTCCGGAGGCAGCACATAACTATCAGATGGCCCTGGCCCCCTCTCTGCCTCTGATGAAGAGCCCTCATCTGAGCCTTCCCCAGACTCCAGAACTGGCCCACGTTCCTCCCCAACTTTCTCACTGTCCGAATCTGCCTTCAGCTCCGCTGGTCACTGGCAGGCCACAACATCTTAGGGGTTTCCCAGGAATAAAGTTCCATCCAACTTTATAAGTATGCCAAATATTCAAAGCTACTTTCCAACATTGTTAGCAGGAAATAATTTGTATTTGATAATTTTTTGAATTATTGTTCTTGTATTATTTTTATATGATTGTTATATCATATAACAATATGATGTCTTTATTTAGATTTATGGTATGCATCATGGATTCATTTGTAAAATGATGTTCTAGGAAACAAACAAATAATCCATTCCGAAGATGAGAAGAAAATTCAAAGCAGCCTGCACCTCTGAATCTTTATTTATATAGTAAGATTGATTTGTCCCTCATAAAAACAGCATATTTAATATGAGATAGAGTCTGCTAGCAGATTCTATTTGCCATGTGAATTATGAACAGAATTGAAACTGTTTATTATGTAACAATAGGTTAAAATACAATTTCTGTAAATGTTATAGATTTATTCCAGATATTTATCCATAGAATTATTTCTTTATTAATTAAAATCATTATGGTTTTAAAGATGAAATTAGCATTCTACAGAAGTTGGAGTAATGTCATCACAATAAAATCATAAAAAATAACTTAACAATAGAATCAGGATTTTGCTGGTTCCAATGCCCCAGTTCTTTCTCCCTTATGGTTTTTTTTCTCCCTTTTATTATAAAACTCATGCATTTTAAGGAATAGGTGCAGGTAATATAGAAACGTGCCTATCTACATTACAGAAATAACTTGTGATAAACAATCATCTTTCATTAAGTGTGTAAGACAATGAGCCATGCTTTCATGGATTCCCATGTAGTCAGAGATAAAGAGTTGTGTTAAAACATTTGCCAGGATTGTACAATGTAGTTTTTGCAAGTATAACCTCTCCAGAAAAAGACGGTCCTGTAACCAATAGATGTTCTTCCTGTATTCTGTTCATTAGAAATGGTTCATATTCTGAGCAATCCAGGCCTCAAAGAAATCAAGTCAATCAGATTGACATCGTATTTTGGCCTATTATCTTGCAGTGGCAAGCATAGCAACCTATCTTTAACCTATCTGTATTTCGCTTTGTGTCTTTAAACATTATAACTGTTCCCCCTTATACTCTGAGTAGTTACTTTTTATATTCAATTATTATAATAGTTATTATATTGTTTATCAGTATCAAAGCTAATATTTGCTTTCAGGCAATTGAATCCAAACTGTTATGATCAGGAAGATCTGCTTCACTGACATCAACAGACAGAAAAATAAAATAAATTAATAAAATAAAACCCAAATGATGGTGCTTAGTGATGTGGGAATGGTGATGAGACCTGTAAAGGCATGATTCTGAACTCATATTGTGTTATTTTCTTGATGCATGTCAAAGTTATAAGTATGTTCCAAGACTATTGTTATGATGTTATTTTTCCATTCAGTGGGAAAGCACTTGGTGGAATTGTTGGTTTTCAATGCAAATCCATTCTACAGTTTGTGCTGCCCGAATAAAGTTGCTAACACTCTGCAGGCGGATATTTCAGTTTTCCTAAACACACAAGCTTTTTACTTAGAGGTATTAGTCTAATTCAATGATGTTTTTTTCTTCTTGGCTTCTTGCTTCTGACAAAAGGTCGCATAACTGAAACACATCATGAAACCATTTGATAAGAGTAACACAAGAAAGCACACAGCAGTGTCAATCAATATACTTTGCTTAGCGTACCTAAATATATACCCAAATAATCTCAATCATGTATGAATAATAGACGGCACTTAGGTCTCAGGAAACGAGTATGGTAATATAATGTTTTGTTTTCTAATTTTCTCTCATTGTTTGCAGTTACATTTTTGTAAAGTTATTTGTCTTAAATTTTCAGATTAGGAGTTTTACGGGCATATTTGATTTGATTCGTTACATTCACTACAACAGATACTGGCAAAAACAAACAAACCACCAGAACTACAGTATCAGGACAAACATTAAACCTTTTCAAATTAGAAAAAAAATCTTCTTTTAACTCTCTCCATGTCTTCCTCTCCGCCTAGGTTCTTTCCTCTTTCTGTTCTGAATGCCATGTTGGAGTAGATCCTGCTTAGCCTCCAATCAACATTTCAAGCACTGGGATCATGTTTGATATTGTCAGATGGCCTGGAAAATTAAAAACCCAATTAAAGGCTCAGCACGCGGGTCAGCTCTTCTGCATATCAAAAGGCTTCCTCTGGCTATTCTGTTCAAATTGTATCTGTTAACAGCTCACTTTGCAGAAAGTGAAATAGCACAGCATTTATGAGTAATAAGTACCTTCCAGCTGATACATTTCAAACATAAACCACTTTCATGGCCCCGGCAAAAAGTACAAGTCATAATCAAATTGTCAATTTTTTCCTGTGAGATGCATAGATCTATTGTAACTGTGATTGTTAAAGAAGGAAATGCATTTTATTCACATGTTGGGAAAAAAGGATGCACAATTTCCCTACAATTAAAGATTTTTTGTCACATTTTTACTGCCTTTCCTTTACATTTCTAAATAGTTACTATAATTGATTTTCGGGTTGCATTCAATTTTTTTTCTTTTTGTAGAAGAATCATTTATAGTTTTTATGTAGTGGAAGAAATGGTTGAAGTGAATAGCATTTTTGTTTAGCTGGGGTATTAATGTTCACCCAAATGTTTATAATGTGAATGTGCAAAGCACTAAAAGCTTTCGAGCGAAATGCAAATTAGCAGAGCACTCAAATGACATTTTTAGAAGGAGTTTTCATCTGTCAATGTGGCATAATATTAAGTCAAACCGAAGTCACTACTTCCACTACTGGCCATTGGAAGAAAAAAAAATGTGTAAGATACTAGGCTTGACAGAAGAGAAAACAAACTACATAAATATTTTTCATCATATTATATTAACCAACCAGCTGCTTCAAGATTCTACAAGTTAGCATCTAAGGTATCCCTTTACAATATATTTTGAGCATAAGCAGTCCCAAAAATCTAAATTCCTTGGTTTTACATAATGCATTAAGGTCCACATACGAGATAAGAAAGATTTTTTTTTCAAAGCCGTGTCATGTGATGTAATAGCAGAAGCCCCACTCAAAAGGGGAAGGAAAGGAATTCCAGGAAATGTTATTATTGATAATGAAGAAAACCATTACTTTAAAACAGAGGAAGTTTTTTTTTTTTAATGTAACATTTTAGCCTAGTAGGCAATTGGGTTTTCTCCAAATAAAGGGTCTTTTGATGAAGCAATTGATATTAAAAACTCAGAATAACAAGTAATTGACATCTAGCAGCATCAGATCAAAATATTAAACTTAAAGGTTCTTATGCTGAAGATGCTACAAAGGAGTCTGAAAATAAAACATTTCCTTGCCTTCTCTCTACCTTTCTTTCACAAGATTTACATTTTGGACAGTAGCTATTTTTGTTTAACTGTGACTGGTGTAAAGCAGTTAAACGTTGCTTTTAATTTAATTTTATGTTAGCAATTTATGACTTAATTATAGTTTATTATTTTGGAATGTTTTCAGATTTGACTCCCAAGGCCCTTCAGTTTGAACAGTGGTATGCTTGTTTGGGTGGAAGTAAAGCTTTATTGGAGCTTCTCTACAATTAAGCCTGTTTAGAGTGTAACCTTGCAGCCCAACCCTATACATGTTTGCCTAGAGGCAATGACATCCACAACAGGAGGGATCTATTGTCAGTACCTTGAAAAACAGGCATATCTAAAATTTGCTTCCCTGATGCAGAGGCTGGTTGGAAATGGACATAAAATAAGCTATCCCCAATGTTGTTCAGTGAAATCTTTGTATTGCATCAGAGCCCATATGTATTCACACAGATATCTGGATTGCAAACTTACTTGTTCTTATGATGTTTTCATAATGTTTCTAAACACATTTTTGTTATGGCTCCAAAACAGATAGAGGCCCTCTTCCATTTCTTCCTCCTTATATCTCAAACTTTTGAATGTTTAATAGTGTGAATATTCCTCATCATTTGGGACCCTTTCAAGAAAAAGACAAAGGTGATTAAAAAAAACAAAAGATAAATATTTCCAAATTGCTTATCTCTGATATCTCGATATAGTACCAGATACAGCTCTCTCCTAATGTGATGGAACAATTGTGATTTTCTGTTTTATGTCTTTTTTCAACAATAACACCGTAATATGTTGACTATAACATTTCATCATGGCAACTTTGGGATTAATGGAATTGCTGACAAACCCCTTTGCCAACGTGCCACTCACGGGTGCCATCATAATGACACCCAGAGAGGCTCTAACTTCTTCACACTGAAGGCTAATTTATTGCATATTAATAGGCACTTTAAAATAATTACAGGTTTTATTTATTTATTTATTGCTTTCTTTCTGGAAAACAGTTGCTGGTCTCCTGAAAGTTTCACACTTCCTATAGAAAAGAAAACCAGGATTTCTTTTTATTATTTTTTTTTCTCCCTCTCTCCCAGAGAAACAATGTATAATAATATGTCAGTAAAGATTGAGCAATTTTGAGTAGTGATGGGTGAAAAGGACATTATGTTCTTTTTTTCTTGTCATGGTCGGTATTTTTCTGTCAGTTGGCAAAGGCTGCACTCAGCAAGCAGAAGTGAAAGACCCAGGCTGAGAGACGTGAGGTGACAACTAACCTGACAGGTCAGAAGATGACTGCAGAATTAGCCTTCCTTTAATTCTCACTAAAATTCACAGCTTCTGACGAGGAAATGGGAAAAAGAAATTTCCTTACACATTTTCTTTTCATTTCATGTGCAGATTATACATATTCTGCTTCCATTAACAGGATGGAGATTGTTCTTTATGCAGCTCTATATTTAAGGGCAAAGGACCGCAAGGGTGACAAGAATGACCCCTCTCTCCTGTCTTATGATCACTGCCAGTTTGACATGACACTAATTAGACTGCCTTAATCTAAACCCAGTTAGTTCTGCATGCTTGCAGCAAAACCTGAACATAAATTGCCTTGGGCCTTTGTCTTCACACACACACACACATTTTATCTTCCATAATCCAATCACAATATCCTTAATGCAGGAGTGCACCCAGAATGCTAATGTTCTTTTCCTAAATTTGCCATTGCATCTGATTATATAATAAATGAACGAACCAATAGATATCAGAGAATTTGTTCAAAATCAATGTTTCCTATCCATGGCTTTTAAAAAAAGAAAGAAAGAAAGAAAAAGTATGTGGAGGAACTGAATCTTTTTTTTGGGGGGGGGGAGAGAATGTAATAAAAACTTGAAACATGGCTTAACCAACAATGTTAAAGCAATGAGCACAAAACTGCTTTTAAATGGCCAATGATTAGAAACGAATGTTAGTTTAAAATGGTATACCCCGCCATGGAATGAGATCAATGTAAACAAAAGGAATACAAAAGTTAGAGTTTGCAAAAATACTCAGAGGGCTAATCATCTAACAGAGATTAGTTCTGTTTTAAATTTATTGGTAGAAATTAGCTCAAGCATCTTTAACTTGGTGTTGATAGCTTTGGGGATTGAACTACCATTTATAAAATAAAATTATCTAGATTTGCTGCACTTCATATTATATCTTGGTTTACTTTGAATGCTCTCCTGGGTTTATTCATTCTATCAGGCGGCAACAGAAGGTGATGGGAAGAAGCACCGTACTTTCAACTTTATTAAAAGTTCAGTTTCATCAGGATTGTTTAATCCCAGAATTATTTCCTGTTCAATTTTACTCCAATTCTTCTTTCCTATCCTTTGTTTTCCTTTTTTATTGTATATTTTACTCAAGCAGCCTTCATAAAGAACTGAATGTTTTCACTGGCTATATACAAGCTGTTCTAGATATCTTTTTGGTTATGGAAAAGAATTTTAAAAATATGCAATAAAAATATTCAATACACATTGATCCATCTTTTGGGGTAATTGCTTTTGATCACCTGAGACCAACTTGGTATCTAAATATAATTTGAAGTTGATAATATTGGGGATTAGTAAATTTTACCCAAATCAGGTCTTCACATCCAAGTAGAATTGCAGGTTTTAAAAGAGATCATAGTTTAGATAGAGTTCATATAGCCCTATATACAAAAATATTGTGTATTTCTGTACACTTTATAGAGAATATTTTCATGCAATTGATAAAAATCAATAAATGTTGAGGGGGGGAATGTTTGTACATTTCCAACATAATATGTTTTATGAAAGTACATGCACAATTCAATGTTATTGTTCATTATGGTTAAAAAAATAATAGTATGAAAACCATCTTATCAAGAGATAAACCTGAAGTGCACAGTTCCTACCTACTTACTAATGGTTTGTCACATGTCATTATTAATATATTTCAAGCCTATTTTGAAATAATTATTATTTAGCATATAACATGGGCTTGCAATATTTATTTAACATTTTTCACAGTAAAATATGAATGTTAGAAAGAACTATATTCAGATACCAATGTCATCTAACCCTTGAAGCACAGCATCATTTATATGAAAAAAATCAGATACTGGACTGGTATATTCCTTCAGCTTACAGCTGGTCATGATGTGATCTACAGTTGAAAATAATGTTTTCAAATTTTCTTTTTGAAACAAGATTTCACTTCACTTTCCTTACCAAGGGACTGAGGGATAGAATGGTTAGGAATCAATTGTACAAATAAACTGCAATCCAATGCAATAATTGATTGCAATTCAATGGCCTTATGCTTTCTTTATCTCTTGATTTTGACTGCGACCATACCTTAATTTTCTTCGTTTTTCATCCTACATTGTTCCCACATAAGCAAAATACTTCTGAATACAAGAAACCAAATATTGGGAGGAAATAATTTGGATGAGCCTTTTCCCCTGGCTTTTCAAGAATACTGTATACATTTGGCCATGTGGAGACTTTCGCCTTTTTCTCAGAAAAAGTTTTGTTGTACCATCTCATCTGCTCTTATCGATGAACCTACCAGAATAAAACAAAGAATCTTCATCAAAGTCCTTAACTGAGGTCCAGAGTGAACTGTTTTTCTTGAACATTCATACACTCCTTGATGCAATTAGAGCCAAAAAGAAGGTACATGTGAAGAAATATTGGTAAATTATTTGCGTTAAAGGGAGGCTTTGAGGAATATTGTGCAACACGAAAGATGGTGAACTAATGAGGACTATCCACAAGGCCAAGTGGCTCCTGATGATTGCTTTGCAGATGAATTGTTCTGAGCATTAAATGATAGTGCTCTCTCTCTCATGCGCTCTCTCTCTCTCCATCTCTCTCTCTCTTTTAGAGAACAGTAAAATGTTTAAAAATCAGAAGAATTTAGATCACATAGGGAATCAACATCAATTGCCACAAGCACATGTTTTATCTACACACATGAATTAAATTGCACAACTATAGAAGAGACAAATTATGTTTTGTGGACTGAAGAGACACAGTATAATTTCAAGTAAACCAAACCATGTCTTGGAACGTATTGCAAAGTCTTAAATTCTTCGCTACACTACTGACAGTTAGCTTTCAGAAGTCTAGAAATGTCCCCTGCTGTTGGCACTAATTGGTGGGAAAAGTAGGTTCTGTGTCAACAGCACCTAATTGTTTGATGGGAAGAGCAAGCCTTCACAACTATATACACCATATCACTATATCACATCACTCTTTGCTTCTAGAGATTTGCAAGAAGGTGCTATATTGTGACATGGTTAATTGTAACTAAGTACATAAGTTATGGTACCTCTGTATGTCTTATTTTTCACAGAGATGTACTATAAACAAGAGGCTTTCTAAATGGGACTGCAGGACATTAAACCACAGAGCTTCATCCTAAATAAATGGCATACATAAAAGTGAATATTATGCAGATTCTTGAAATCTGCGCCTTCAAAAAGATACTATTTGAACCATAATGTATTCTGTCATGTGAAATAAAATGCAGGGAACGTTTACATTTCTCTCACTCACTGAGCTTCTATTACACAGCTTGCATTTCTTCTCACATCAGTAGACATCTTTTAAAACATTATCTTTGTGTCTGCCTCTCTTGATAGCAAATAACATTCAATAAATAAAATTATTTAGGATAAATAATGTTAGACTTACAAAGATATAAACATACAAGCTTCAGGAGTGATTAGTTTAAAACAAATACATTTAACAAGGTGCACTGAAAGTATATTCATTGGTCAGCAACCATTCACAATTCCATAATGAGTCAAAATACCTTTTTATACAGTTGCTTTCTCTGCTTCATTTACTGCTGAATCAGACAACCATGGAGCAGAATCTCAACCCATTGGCTGCATGAGGAAGATTGTCTACAAGGGTTTGGCCTTTGATTGAAAATCAATAAAATATGTAAGTAAGAGGTATGACTGTTGCCCTATGAAGTACCATTTTGCCCAGTTAAAGGTCATGCCAATAGAAGTTTTAGAAGTATGTAAAGACATCAGACATTCTTATTCAGGCTAGAAAATTAAACAGAATTCTGTATATTTCTGGCTATTAATATGCACAGCTTTTATTATCTAATACTTCCTGAAATAATATTTAATGTTATTAAATCAGATTAGGTCAGAAGAACAGGAATTCAAGCACTGCCAGCAAAACAGGAACTGGACGCCACATACTACAAAGCTCATGCTCTGGGACACATCAAACTGAAATGGATTAGAATGGATCAAATTACATTGTTAAATGTTCCATGTCCCTTTGTTGGAAGATGCGCTTATTGAGTTTCCAAAGACTTCCTCATTGTAGCATGGCCTTGAATTGGTTCAAGGCTAGAGACATCAAACTATAATCCCAAGTGGCAAAAATAAAATAAAAAATGCATGTGTGCAACACCATCTGTTTACATTACAACTTGGGAATGGAATCATGGAAATTAGATGGGTACTGTCCAAGAAAAATGTCATAAATATTAACTCAATTTAGTTTTAAAAACTTTTGCAGTAATTCAGTATTCAAAAATTAATACTTTTTGTCAAGCAGGCATGCCTGACATATTTGGCTGTCAGATATA